CAGATGTGCTTACAATGAAACAGTAGAGATGGGAGGAATAAAGGCAGTTATCGTTTATTAAGAGCCTATAAACCAGCACCAGCAAGGGAGCTCTACATTCATTTCATATGATCCTCAATGTGTAAGGTAGATGGTCATCTCTTTTTCTTTTTTTGAATTCATACCTGAAGTTGAAAAAAATCATGAACACGAGAGTGAGAGTTTACTCAGAAGGCTGGTCAAGTTGCTATTTAAGAAGTACATGTCTTTTTAGCACTAATTTTCAATTATTTGCACACTTTCACATTATAATCCTGCTGCTTGCCTTATTTTTAAATAAAATGTTTAGATATAGAGTGTTTGTAGCCTTTTTAATTATAGAGTTTTGATGACTATTTTGCAAGAATTTAATCAAAGGGGAACAAAAGCTTTATTAACCTGTTTTCTCACTCTCCTTTATTTGCAATATGTGCTTGTTTATTATCTGTTAGAACATACTCCTCATCTGGTTTGAAATGAAAGGATGATCCATCTCCTCATTACCGATCCTCTGCTTGGTGATGAAAAACAAAACAAAACATATGAACAAAGGAAAAATGCCTTACTGTCATTTCTCAGCCTTCCTTGCTGCTGCTCAGCTGGGATGTTAAAGAGTAGGGTTTAATGAAAGAAGGTGAGAAGGTGAAAAAAAAAAAAGCCCTAATGAGCATGTGTTTAGTTGTATGGAAGGATCACGGAGAAGCAGCAGTGGTTTTCTTTGTGCCTAACACACCGCAGTGTCCCCCAAGGTCAAAGAAGCCCATCGTCCTTCCTCATCCATTCACTCCCCATCCTGGCAACCAGCTTCTCTGTCTAGAACAGATTTCAAGAAGTTTATTTTCTGATGGGGGAGTGAAAAAGAATCTCATTTCCCATCACCAGCTTGTGGCTCTTGAGAAACATGCAGAAGAGGTGTAGAGATCTTAGGTTGTTTGCCTCACTAGTGGAGCACTCAGGAGCAAGCACGGCAGACTGTGAGCGAACTCTGGGGCGACAGAGACCCAGGATTGCTGATACTTACCCTGAACGAAGACGCGAATTCCCATCAAGCCACGCAGCACCACTGAAAAACAAAATGCTTTAATGCTTCAAAGGAGAGCCAATAATAGCTATCAAAATTCTAAAGCAGTGCTCTGAATTAGAATGAAATCTTGTAGTCATAATATCACTCTGAAAATGTCGTCAATCAGCAAGCGTTCCAGCCCTGTGGTGTGAGCATCACCAAAAATACCAAATCAAACAGGAGGACCAAACTTGGACAGAACTCTGAAAACTCTAAAAGAAAGATGTTTTTTACTTTACCAGTTTCCAAACCGGAAAATCATTACTCATCATGCCCAACAGACTATTTCATGGGGAGGGAAAGAAAGGCACAGCCCACTATAACAAAAAGAAAGAAAGAAAGAAACCTTGAAGTATCTATCATTCCTGTCGGATCAACAACTCTCTTAGAGGCAGGACATACTTCTCTAATATCCTATGTCCAGTATAACCATAAACAATTTGACAGGAGTAAATTGAGATCTTTCTTTGAAGTTGAAATACACAGCCTTAACTGTGCTCTCATCTCTACATTTCACTGAGTGAATAACCTAAATTACACAGAACGGCAGTAAATTGGCTCATCATAGCCCTTTCTAATTTTAAAAGGATAAAGAACAACAACAAAAAACTGACAGCTTAGCGTGTACTGTATAGGCACTAGTGAAGCCTGTTAAGGGGCTGCCCAGTCTCTTCCCAAGAAGGTCATGAGCTCAAATTCAGTCTAGGTTCATTATGACCAAGGGCCAGTCAATGTCTTATGTTAAATGTACCTATGCCCTCAACATAATGTTCTTAATAGGAATGCTGACAGCTTGCATTTGTCACTTTTGCTGACTCTCTTGAGTGGATGGCCTTGCACATGTGGAAATGCCATCATTTCCTCCCTTATAAAGGTGATCCTGGAAAAACATGCATCTTTCTTGCACAATGCTTCCCTGCTAGCTGTGAAGAAAAAGTGGAGCAAGAAGGTCTTTGACTGTCAAACACCTTGATGAGCCCAGAGCAGACTTTAAATTTTAAAGACATACAAGCGTGTCCACAAGAACAACATTTTCCAAACAATATAATAACTCTGTCAGCTTCAAAAAGCATTCGCTTGTGGTGATAAAATGCCAGGTCACAAGTTATATTTTGACTCCATTACTGAGCATTATCCTTGAGTTCAAAATGAAAAGTCAGTACAATTTACCAGCTGTTGGGCTATCGCTCCCCTCACATGCCATCCCAATGACAACAGAACAACAGGCTGAACAATTACAGTGGCTAGAGTCACTACTTGATTAGATTCTTAATGACTGGCTCTGCCCACAGGTCACTTTGGCCAGTCAAACAACAAATAGACTTTGTACTATTTAGACTCTAGGTTCCTGCTTGGGATTTTATGGAATTCACTGTAGAGATTCACTATCAATCAAACGATATTTGGGGTGACAAGAGACATAGCATATAGGTAAGTTTTCTCTCTTTATGAAAAAAAAAAAAGTTGGTGTGATTAAGATATGAGATTTCCATGGCTCAACTTTCATAGGTTGTAAATGGCTCCCACTTTTTGACCTGTGAGGCGCAGAGCACCATTGATTGAGGAATACCCTATGATGGGCACCCTCAGGATGGACCAGTGCTGAGTAGCTGAGTGATGCTAAGCAACTCTGCCCCTCACCGCATAGCACAGATGCTAAACAACTCCGCTCCGCAATAGCACAAATCAACTTGCTTCAGGAAGGGTGGCAGCACCCATGAAATTCTGTTGAGGGATGGTGTTCCAGAGCCCAGTTTCTCAGTTTTTCCTGGGGCTGAAGGATGTCCACATCACAGGGAGAGAAAGCACTACTGGGTCCTTTCTGTTCATTACTTACAATCATTTGAACTGGTGCTGCCAGGAAACAGGGTTATTTCTAATCTAGTCATTGGTTACTTTGATAATTAGAGTGTGGGGGTTACTGAGAATACAAAGTTGTGGGGGACATGCTCCTGTCAAGGGTGTGGTGAAAGTAAAATCTAACAGCCCTTACAAAAAGAAGAAGGAGAAGGAGAAGAAGAAAAGGTAACATGCTGAAACCTTCCCAGACCACACCTAAACTGGATCTAGTCCTCTGAAAATGAGCAGCTGGTCTGAAGGGGACTTCTTACCAGGAATAGGGCCTGCCCTTAGAGCATCAGGTTTAATAGCCAGTGCTAAACCCCTGCATCTGTCCAACTACCATCAGCCATTTCTCCATTACGGCTTTATTTACAATCTATCCCATCTACATGAAAGATGAAATTCCATCTACTGAAACGAAATTAGTCATCTCTGGACTCAAACTCAAGCGGCCATTTCCCTGGTGGAGAAATGGGAGATACATTCTTTTTTTAAAACCACAGGAAGGATTTTCAAGAACTTAGGTACGCTCAGTAGGAAACCCCTCAAAGATTTGGCCTGCTGTTTCCAGGAGGCATTTATAGCATTCCCTCTTCCAAGGCACTGACACCATAAGCCTAGAGCTTCCTACCCACCAACCTTTCTCCCTTTCTTGAAAGCTCCCTTCTCCAATATTCACTATGTAAACCAAAGTTAGGGTTCAGATTTGTTACGACTGTGTTGTGTTCTGGTATGAGGCAGAGGACAGTGGGTATCAGTACGGGGTTGCGGGTGGGTGTGGCATAAGGACTGGGCAGAGTTTGCCCTGTCCTAAAAGGCGTCATAAAAGGAACGTTGAGACAACCACAGAGATGAGAGTTGGGAACCGAACCAAGTGCTTTCGGGGTGAGCTCTTGCGGGCAGAGTGACTTGGCTCCATCAGGTGCAGTTCTCTCCAGCCCCAACTAGGGAGATAAAGATGTCTCAATAACCTCGACTTCAGCCTCCAAGACCCTGACAGAGCCCCAGGGGGAGGGGAAGCTCCTTTTCTGCAGAGGCGGCGGCCGGGCTTGTTTGTAGGTTTGCAATTCACCATGATAAATGTAAAGACCAATTAAGGTTTGATCCGTGCACACGGGAGGCAGACGGCGGCTGATAGTGGAACCAATTAACGAGCATGTCCCCTAATTCCCGCCGCGGCCGCCGGGCGCACGCGGATCCCCAGGCGCCTGGGCTGCTGCCCCCAGGCTCGCGCGTCTTCAGTGCAGCCCTGGAGGGGAGCGTCCTTCTCCAGCGAGAAGGTGTGGGGCGCGGGCTCCCGGGGCGTCTGGGAAGGGGGCGCGCGGGGCACGAAGGCGCCGAGCCAACCACCTACGGAGCCCAACTGTTTGCAGCCGGGGCCGGGCGGGTAGGGCGGACGGGAGTGGTCCGCTCAGGGAGGGGACGACGGGGGCTGGAGGGGGCGCCGAGCGCACTCCAGGCGGTGCCCCGAAGGCGGCGGACAGGTGGCCGCACGGCCTCCCCCAGGTAGCAAACGGCTCGGCGGCTGCGCGGCGCGGTGCTATGGCTTCGCCCGATCCCCGGCCAGGTTAGCTGCAGCCGCCGCCGCGGGGGCGCCTAGGGGTAACCCGAGAGCAACCCCAGGCCGCATCCCGTCCCAGAGCCCCTAGGCCTCTTCCCGCTAGTCCCCCTTTCCCTTCCGGCTCTGCCCGCTGCCCCAGACGTGACCCTCGCGCAAGGTGCTGGCGCTGCGCACAGACAGGGCGCGCGTGATTAATGGGCATGAGGTCGGGGTGGGCAGGCTCTAGCCCCTTCTGTACCGCCAGGGCGTGAGGGCATCCGGGGGGACAGCCGGGTCATGGCAGTGGGCGCCCCTGGGGGCTGTGGTGGCGGCGGCGGCGAGGGGGAAGTGGTGGCACGGGACGGAGGCGCCGGTCCCCCTGGCCCCGGGGCCGGCGCCGCGGCGCGTTCTCAGCGCCAGCAAAGTTTGCAGCCGCGGGCGCCACACTGCGCAGCGCGTAGGGCCCTCCCCGAGCAGTTCCCTCGGCGGGGTCTGTGCCGCCGCCGCTGCCAGGGCAGGACAAAGGCTCATTAACACGTGATGGGACCGCGCTTCATAAATGGGACCAGAGCGAGAGCGAGCCAGAGACGGCGCGAGCGGAGGGAGAGACAGGGACAGTGCCTGCGGGGCGAGGCTACGGACGCCCGGCCTGGCGGTGACCCGCAGCCCCACGCCCGGCCAGGCGGGGCGAGCAGGAGGACCCGGTGAAGAGTCTGGCAAAGAAGCGAGGCTTGCTGGCTGCGGGAGCGGAGGGGCGCCAGTCCCGATCCCTGTCGCGGGCGGCGCTGGAGGCAGGGGACGGCGGCGGGCGGACAGCGCGGACCGACTGACTTACTGACCGACGACAGAGGCACACCCCGCTCCTCCCCACCCGGCCTCGCCCTCAGCCCGGCGGCGGCGCCACCTCCCGCCCGCTACTCCCTCGGCCATCCCTTCCCTTTCCACTTCTTTTCCTCCTCCGCCTTTCCTTGGCTCGCGCGGCGCGGGTGCTTTCCTCTGGCCGGGGCGGGGCTCCTCGGCTCCCTGCAGAGCTCTCGATAGAGTCCGGGGAACATTGCTTTCTGGTGGAGAAGCAGCCCCTGCGCTGGGCAAGAGGTGCCCAGGGAGATTCTCCCCCGAGGACCGGGGGATGCGAAGGGTAAGACCTGGCAGAGTTGCGCTTGGAAAGACTTTTCCTCCTCCCGCCCCCATGGGTACTGACCAGTGTGGTACCCAAGTATCCTTCGTAGAGTTCTTACGTCGTGTGAGAGAATCGTGCGTTGACGTTTCCTTAGCTGTATAGCCTCTGTCTGTTAATGTGGTCTGTGCTACGTCTGGAGGGTTCTACCGTTTACTAGTTGTTGAATGTATGTGCACCTGGGTCTTTGTATATCTCGATGTCTGTTTGTAGGAAATGTGTAATTGTGCCTATTTGAAAAACTAGCGCTGAGTTGGTGGTGACTGATGTCTATAAATCATATCAGCAACTAAGTCTTCCCAGAGAAATACATCCATCTCTGCACCAAATCTAGAAACTATCTAAAGTAAAATAGCAAATGCCTTATAAAGACATGTGTATCGAATAATAAACTTTTGATATAGAAAAATATAATTACAGGAATCACTCTTCTTGGAAGAACAATAAATGTGTATTTAACTAATAATCTAAATTTAAATGGTGATGAAACCATTTAATTCAAAATTGGCCATTAGATGAATAAAGTTGATGTTTTTGAAAGACATTTCTTGCTAGGGTTCATAATCATAGATGCACCACCTCCAATTGCAAATGTATTTTTACTGTAATAAATGTGAGAAACTGTCATTTGATCATTCGAAAGTTTAAAAGCAGCATGCATGTTTCTAATTTTAGTTTTAAACTGAGCAGATAAAATATTAATACTCTATTAATGATTCTGTCCGCCACCTTTTTCATTTTCCTTCAAGTCAGTGATAGTCTTGCATTTATTATTGTTTTTTTTTATATATTAAGCATCCTCCAGCATTTAATCCAATAAAAGATTAGAGCAGATTTACTGGTTTTAAAGGTGCTAAACGATATCTCTATGGATCCCATAACTTCTCATTTTTATTACCAAGTTAATATCTTTTGAACAATGAGGGAAATGCAATTTCTTAGCAGAAACTCACTAGACATTGAGTATCAGTAGGGTGACCACTGCCATCAATCTGTTTTTCAGAGTATTGAGAAGCGCAGAGCAACCAACCTTTAAGGTTCCCATAGGACTTTATCTGATTTCAAGTGTTGCTTTTCTAATCCTACCCTACTGACAGTTTGCAAGGGAAGAGACACTGATTGATTTTCCTCTATCCTTGTTTTTCCTGGTACTGCTTCCCCTCCCTGCACTCTAACTCATTTAAGGGCAATTTTATCAAAATAAAAGGCCATGTATAGTTTCTTAAGTGAGACAAATTATGTTCTGATCATATCCATACATGAATAGAACCTGCATCCTTCCGGAATGTTAGCAGTTGCTTACTGCAGCAGGTTACTTGGAGGTACAATAGCAGTTGTTATAGCTGGACGAGAGGCTTGATGATGGCCATAGTTTCTAAAAACTAATCCATTTTAGGTTATCAAGAGAACTTACTGTAAATGGACTCTTTTTGTTTCAAAGATGTCTTCCCATTCCAGGCAAGGGGCAGTCTTGGCTGAGGTATGTATCAAGTGTCTGATGGAGAGAGGTCTCATTGTGCTCCTAGGTCTCCACCTGGGAGTAAAATGATGCCACAGGGGGGAATGCTCAGTTCTGAGCTTTCAAAAATGAATTTGCTCTGCTTGCATACTCGTTGTTAGGAAAGCAAATTAGATACTCATGCCCCTAGTTTTAATCGATAGCATCATTATATGTGCACACATGTATAAATGTTATGCCTAGTTTCTGAAGTAAACCATAGGTAGTCTTATTAAATTTGGCGTGTAAAGTTTTAAATTCTGGAGAAAATGGGATTTCATGTTGGAGTAGAGCTCGGCTTTGTTATCCACTGTTTTCTGTCTTTTTCTGTTACCCTTTTCCCAGTGGACTGCAAGCCTCCCTGTCTCGCCTGTGAGATTGCTCTTCTCTAATAAGCCTAGCTACAGGATCACTGTGTTCTTTTTGGCATTTCAAAATGTTAAAATAGTGAAATTGTTAAATGTTAGCAAGATGAAACTGCTTGGAATGAAATTCTCCAGGAAAACCACTCTATTTGTGGCATATTATAGTCTATTCCAACAGAAAACTCCTTGAATTGGTTTACCTATTTCCTCAAGAAGGAAGCAGCCCCATTGATTGCGTTGATAAGTGTTTAGTATGCAGTGTCAGCTTATTAATTACTAAGGCAAAGCCTGAAAAACTCTCTCAGAATAATCAGATGACATTCTTCTTTGCTTTGACTTAGAATTAACATTAACCACCAGGACATGTAGCGAGGTTCTTTGGTTATCTTGCCTATTGGTGTTTGAAATTAGAATGGCAATACTTTATTGTATAAGACTCAACTATTATGAAACGGAACTTATAATAGCACTTTATAGTTCACCATGCTTACCAAATGTTTCTCCCCAGAAAACAGTTGACCTAATAAGGAAAGAGATTATTTCTCATAATTAGCTCTCCAGGAATGCTGCAAAAAAAAAAAAAAAAAGTGGGGGGGGGTTAAATTGAATTTGGAAATACTTAACAACACATGATGAGTAAAAGGAGATTTGGTTATAACATCTTGAATTTAGCTCTTAAGATGGAGCCTGTTCTTTAGGTTGCTGCCTGTTATTCTTGGGGTAATTATGTTAGCTCAGTTGCATGAAGAACACAGATGAGAGCTTTCATTCCTGCTAAAAAGGATGCCGTGTCTCCACCAGTGTAAGTCTGTCTCTTCTGTTTTTGTATTCATCATTTTCTAATTGAACTGACAAATTAGAGTGAAACCAGCCTTTGGTTTAAATAATTTATAATTCTGCCTTTGACTCTGAAACAACCCAGACCCAACATTGTTTGAAAAACTGTGCGAGGGCCAGGTTCAGATATTGCATATCCATTATTTCCAGGGATCGCAGCTCTACTGATTTTTTTCTTTTATTGATTGAAAATTGGTAGCAGAATTAATAAGAGTAAATCAAAACCAATTCATGTACAGTGTGTTGGCAAAAATTTAACTTTCTATTCTCTCCCTGCCATCTCCAGTTCTTTCCTACACTTGTTCTCATAATGATGTTAACTTTGTATTATAATTGTATGAATGTTGTTTTTGAGTGGTAGGGATATTCAACACTTTGCCACCGAATTGCTCTTTAATGTTGGGCTAACCATTTATTTGAATTATTTGTATTTTAGATTAGGTTGGACTAACTTTATAACATAGATAAATTTGCATTTCTTCAAGTATTTTTGGGACTAAAAGAAACAATGTCATTGATAATATATATAGAACATCAAGTTCCAATTTGATGTTCTATATATATTACATAATTTTAGATAACTGAATGGGAAACCCTGATTCATATATATAAATGAACTTTTTCATAGATTATGTATGACTGAAGTAAAAATTCAGATGGCATCTTTATATATTTGGACCTTTAATGCATATTTTAATTAAAAACTACAAATTTGGGATAATAGTCACATTCAAGGAAGCTGTGCAGATGGACACTGAAAGACTCATAGCAAAAGGAAGCATCCACCTTGAATCAAAACAAGACAGTTCCTATTTTCCAGGTCAGGTGGAAATGTTCCAGGCCCATATGTTCTAAGAGTCTTGCAAATATATAAGGATGGACATAACTGTGTTTGATGATCTTTTTACCATAAACACTGATTTATGGTTCTAATAGAGTTTTCACCAATCTTGCTAATCGTTTGTTTTTGGCCAGAAAGTTGGGAGGAAATATACAAGATTACCATCATATTACAATGTATATTTATTTATCTAGCTATATTGTTATATGTAGATCATTATAATACTATCAAGAGTAAGTTAAAACTATAGGAAATCTGTGAAGGGGGAAGGGAAGGTGGTTTTTAGTGGTTTTCTAGTGTTTCTCTTGGTTCTGTTCAATGGTCTGATGTTAGAGGAACTTCTTTTTCAACCTTCACTGCATGTACAATAGTTATGCTTATGACCTATCAGTAATAATAGGTCAAAGCCATTACATAAAGTAATCAGCATGATTACCTCTAGTTCTTAACATAAAATATTTACTAAAAGCTTTCCTGGGTCATATTTCTGTACTGAACTGGGTGCCTCATAGAAAATAAAGTACATTTCATTCTAATAGTTTTTCTAGGACAGTTGCATTTGCAAATATACTTTTGATATAGTTTTCCTGGACATTTCCTATATATTTGAAGTATTTTCCATCTAGAATGTTAATAATAATTATAGGATATAATGTAATATAAAAGTTCATTTGGACAGGTTAATTACATAATTTAGTGAGCATGGAATTCTTAAGGCTCATGATTGTATCCATGTGGGTCTTTGAAGGAAGTATTGTTTACTCACCAAACCTAAGCAAATGGGCCTGGCAGAGTCCTAGCAGTTATTCTGGAATACTATGAGTTCTGTTACACTGTGAATTCTGTCTTAGCCCCAGCTGGAGAAATTTTCACACCTGCACTTTAAGGCAGCTTCCAAAGTTTTGCTTTGTTCATTTGTTTTGTTTTCAAAGATGTGAGTTAAGATTGGTTAGATGGGAATCAGTAATTTTTAGTCGATCCTTTTATTTTTTTAACTCATTGTGCCATTGCATTATGTTACATAGTTTAAAATGTTTCTTAAAGTGGATTTTGCACATTTTGAATGCAAGAAGAAATTTAAGTTCCCTTTCCCCTACAGAGATGGCAAAGCATTTTTTCCTGAGAGTATGGTATTTATTATCTAATATCTTATATTTACACTGTAATTTGAATTGAATAGAAATTTGATATCTATGGCTTGATTCGTCACCACCATTATACAATTTGAGTAACATTTTAAAAATTCGTTAATGCTTTTAGTGAACTAACATTGCAATATAATATTATGTTAAGTCCTGGTATGCATCATTGGAAATCATCATGACTATATACTACATTAAGGTCACTGTTCTAAGTCTCAGTCTATCCTTTATCATATCACTGTTCCCTTTTTCCCAATTTACCCATTCTTCTTTCTTCA